CTTTCTAAAATGCAAACTACACAAGAGAGAGGATTAAACTGTTCACTGAACATAACTTATCTCATCTGGTGTAGATAATACACTGAAAAAACCACCATCTGCCCCAAAATAATCACTCAATTTTACATTTCTTGTATTTTTTCTTTTATTTTTGTTCTGTTTTACTTATTGATGTAATTTTCTAATTGTTTACTCTATTTTGTTACTTTTTTAGCTAGCTGTTGTTTATTTAAACAACATTCTTTATTGTATTATTTTCAAGATCCCAATAAGGATACGAAATCAATAAAGTTATTACTTACTACATTAAATTTTTGGCTCTGAATTCCATTTGAATAATATGAAAATGAATTCTGTTACTCGTCGCAATAGCCAAGTCATACATTTTTTGTAAGACAAGTTACACAACAATAATCATTTTTATGTGAGTATCTAATGTGATTTAATTCTTTTGTTACATTTTTTCAGATATCGATGAATGTCTCTATAATACTCCATGTCATAATAATGGTATATGTATAAATAAACCAGGATCGTACTCATGTGACTGCTCACGTACGAACTTTGAGGGCGTCAACTGCGACATGGGTGAGATTAATATTTCTTTATTACTTGATTAATGTATGACATAATAGTTTTATACCATGTGACAGAGCCTTGTTGTTTTGCGTGTTTGTCCTGAACGAGCAAAATTAGACTCTATCCTCTACAGCGTGTTCGCATGTATTGCATATGTGTGCCCTGAACCAGCATAATTAATTAAGATATTATTCTCAACGATGTATTCGTTTGTATTGCGTATGTTTTACCCTGAACTAGTGTAATTATGATGATATTATACTCGATAGTGTGCATGTTCAAATGTATTGTGATGATTACCCTGAACCTATGTAGACAGCATGTCCCACTACAATGGTATCATTGGATATCCACATAGATATAATGAGTAATATTGTACTGCATATTAAGTGTTAACTTTTCTATCTTTCTTCTGTCATTCACTATGTGACTTCTTCTCAGAGATTGATTTGTGTAAGGCTGAACCATGTCAGCACGGTGGTAAATGTGTGCAAATATTCAGAGACTACACATGCGATTGCTCTGATACTGGATATGTTGGACGTACTTGTCAAAATGGTAACAATGCTAATTTCCTTAACATGCTGTTCTCACCCAAAACAATATCATTTAAAACTAAATTTAATTGTTAATGCAGGTCAAATTGCAAATATTGACAACCTGAATTAGAATGTCGACAGTTCTTTGGGCCTATATTCTAGATATTCAAACACCGAAGGCGTTTAATGGGTAATTCGAAGCATTTCAAGTGGGGAACTTTAAACCTAACAGCACTCCATACTTCCTGTTCTGGCGTTTTAATTTATTCACGCGTATCACGTTTATACACAATATTTAAACAATAATGAATGACCCGCCAACCCATAATGGGCGAAAGCTCACTTTGTGCGACATATATGTACGAGGCGTTAGCCAAGTACATATGTATGGAGCACAAAGTGTGCTTGAGTCCATTATGGGTTGGCGGGTCGTTCATTATTGTTATTATTTTGTAGCGTTGTCATTACCAGTGGATTTGCTGCCTCTAAAAAGCGGAAAAATTTGGAAAAAAATCTACAGTGAACAGAATAGTTTCAAAGTCACTGACCAGTGAATATGAATAATTTAAAATGTCTTTCTGGAAATTGTTTCCACAATCTCATATGGCAAACTAAGGAAGGAACTAGTTTTAATCCATCAAATATAATTGTATTAAACTCATTTATATTGCGAGTGAATGAGTGACTGATGTGTGATGTGGAGTAGCATTACAGTGATCGCCCGAGCGAACGGCACACCGTGACTGGTACCGGGGACTGGTACGCCGTATCGGTGTCCATCGCAGCTTGCACTACACTACGCTAGATCGTCGCCGTGGTCCAGCTGGATCGATTGTGCGTACGGATGCGTACCCGGGGTACATGTACGTAGTTGCATCGTTACCCCATCCCGCTAGTGTTTTCAAACAATCAAGGTAGATATTATTGGCAACTGTGTAATAGTTATTTTAAATTTCACGGGAGGGCGGTAGTGGGCGAACGAACATGACCGGAAAGCCAGTGGGTGTTAGCCATCCTAGAAGGAGAACCAACAGTGATTTTAATCTCACTGTATAAATAAACAGATACACACCTGGGAACACGGATACTTTCATTTATTTATACAAACTGTGCCCGGACTGTTACATTTACCGGGAGTCAACGCCGAGGAAATATCTCGTTTTGCAAATTTTGTAGTA